GAGGATTGCTTGAGCCCAGGAGTTCTGGACCAGACTAGGCAATATAATGGGACCTTGTCTCTACAAAAAAATAAAAATAAATTAGCCCAGCATGGTGGTTAGCACCTGTAGTCCCAGCTACTTGGGAGGCTGAGGTAGGAGGATCCCTTGTGCCCAGAAGTTCAAGGCTGCAGTCAGTTGTGATAATGCCACTGCACTCTAGCCTGGATGACAGAGTGAGACACTGTCTCAAAAATAAATAAATAAATAAATAGATAGATAAATAAATGAAGACAAGACAGAGAGATATGTCTCTCTCCCCCATGTAAAGATACAGCAAGAAGGTATCCTTCTATAAACCAGAAATGAGGCTCTCACCAGAAACCAGATCATCCACACCTTCATCTTGGACTTCCCAGCCTCCAAAACGAGAAAAAAATTTGTTTAAGCCACACAGTATATATCTGATATGGTAGCCTGGCAAGACTAAGACAGGACATTTTTCCATTTCATTTATTTAGATCTTAAATTTCTTTCAGCAATATTTTACAGTTTCCAGAGTATATACTTTCTGTTTCTTTTGTTAAATTTGCTCATAAGTATTTTACTCTTTTTGATGCTATTGTAAAGAGAATTTTCTCTTTTTTTGATGTTTTCCTATTTATTTATTTAGAGATAGGGTCTTGCTGTGTCACCCAGGCTGGAGTGCAGTGGTGCTATCACTGCTCATTGCAGCCTCCACCTCCTAGGCTCAAGTGAACCTCCTGCCTCAGCCTCCCAAGTAGTTGGGACTACAGGCACACGCCACCATGCTCAGCTAATTTTTTGATTTTTTGTAGAGATGGAGACTTACTAAGTTGCCCAGGCTGGTCTCCAACTCCTGGGCTCAAGCAATCCTCCCACTGCCTCCTCAAGTGTTGGGATTACAGGTATGAGCCACTGCAACTGGCTAGATGTTTTCTATTTTAGAACAGTAGGTTGCCAGCAAGTTTACGCTTACACCAATCCAACAAAAAGTGCAAGGACAGTTCAAAATATTACATTTGCTGTTTCAAAGAAGAGTGCAACTCCAAAGAAGTCAGACTCATGACTAACAATGCAGAGCTAGACATCAATATTTAGATAAATGTCAGAAACTGAATTCCCCTTGTTGCCATAAACATGTCCTTTCATTAGTCACACCCAACATATCTAAATAAAGTTTTCAAAATTAATGCTAACAAAAAAATGTATCCAAAAACCTGCCAACTTACTCAAAGGTTTGTGCAAGTCTATTTTTAAAAATAATACATTAGGCAAACATGGTGACAAACTTTATGTTCTATGTATCAAGGCAAAAACAGACTTGACCTACAAAATGAAGATAGGGTCAACCGTAACCAAAAAACAGTATGCTTCCCCCTGGTGGCCAACCAAAGAATGGAGGAGCCAAGGATAGGAGAGAAATAGCCAGGCCACCTAGTTCTATTGTCACTCTTATAAATGAAAAGAGACTACCAAAAAAAAAAAAAAAAGAATTGGGGGGTCGGAGGGGGAGGGGAAAATACCAAAACACTAACGTGTGCTTAAAAAGAATACAAACCTGAGTGCCAGACTACATAAATTTAAAAGATTTAAATCAACAAATCAAAATTTAGAAGGCAAATTTGGGAAACGTCGTCTATTTTCAGAGCGCCCAAGCGCTCACCCCGGACCTCCATGTATTTTCATTTAAACGTACAGAGTTTAGTACCTTAATAACAGCTTAAGAGCATTCCCCTTTTTCAAGGACTAGATCCTTGGAATTTTCTGCAGTCTTGTTTCCAAGGAAAAGCATCTATGCATTTATCTTCTCAAATCAACTAGTGGTATAACCTGCATAGAGAATCTCCCGTTCTAGAGCCCTCCAACCAGGGAGGATTGTTAACTACAGCTTTACAAATTGCTCTTTTGAACTTCATTTCTGAAATAAAACCTAACATTCTTTAAAACATTTTCTATATCAACAACCTTTAAAGACAGTCTCATACAAAGACGGGCTAGAATATCTTGCATTAAATCTGACGAATTCTTTTGTCTGCTTGGATTTTTTTTTCTTGTACCACTTTAAATTTGCTTCCACACAGAATAACAGCCCGGGAAATAGATGTTCCATTCTAAGGTGTAGGGATTTCTTATGGGCGGAAATGATTTGTTAGGCGAAAGCTTCCGATGGTTTTCAATTTCACAGTCTCTTCCGGAGCCGAAGTCCAGCACCAACGCCTGGTTCTGGGGTCCGACCGTCATGC